CTTTTATTATTATTATTATTTATTTTTTTACCTCGGATGGTAATTAGCTTTTGCCAGGTATCCCATTCAATTTTCATACAGTACGGTCTAATTATTGTGCAATAAAAATGTGAAATAGAAATCTACCATTAATTTAAGTCTAATATTTGAATGCTATAAGGATGTCTTTGTTTGTTCTCCTTCCGGGTAAGAAACATGTTTGTGGAAAAATACCTGCATGCACAACACACTATGAATCAAGCAGATACTAAAAGCAATAAACTGCAGGAATACAACATTTGAAGGAGGTTTAAAAACAAGGAAGTGAGTAGTCTTTTTTTATATTGCACATTTCACAGGCCAAAGTCACACAAAGAGATAAACAATGTTATTGGACTAGCAATATTCTTTACATTCCTTCCATGATCTAAATCATTTAAGGACATTATAGACCTTAGTCATCCCGCTCCATGTGGACCAATGTCTCCCAGTTATTATTGTATTTCCTGTGTTCAAACTGTCTGATTCTTTCATCTGTTTTCGGAGACAACTGCTGTTGTGGTTTAGGGCTGTTCAAAATAAGTTGAATTGATTTGTTTAAAATCTTTCTCTTTTCAGAAAAAAATAAGTAAGTAAGTAAGTAAGTAACTACTTACTTACTTTCTTGTGTTTCCCAGATTCTGGTCTCACTCTGGTCTCTCTTTGGTCTCTCTTTCTGGTCTTTTGCTGGTCTCCTTTTGGTCTATCTGTGCCCTCTCTTCTCCCTCTCTGCTCCCCCCTTCTCTCTCTCTTGTTTCTCTCCAGTTCCTTTCTGGTCTCTCTCTTTTCTCTTTCTATGCTCTCTTTCTGGTCTTTCTCTCTGCTCTCTATTCTCTCTGCTCTTTCTCTCTCTCCCTCTCTGCTCTGGCCCCTGCTCCCCTGCTTTTACTCGGTCCTCTCTCCAAAACACACAGTTTTAATTTCAAACCTCTGATTAGCTGATGATTGCATGACAGCCGCCAAGCAGGTCCCCCTTTCGCCCGGCTCCCAGACTGCAACTCAATCACGGCCAATTAGCGAGTCCCCAAACACTCTCTCTTATTAGAGGACTCATAATCGACTCATTGTGTCCTGATTTAGCAAATAAATCACTCTGGAGGCTGCATGCCCGGCTCTCTCCCCCTCGTCATGCCTCCACGTCTCTGCTGCCCACTCCTCTCCTTGTCCAAGGCTCCGGTGACAACGTTTTCACCCGTGCTTTTCATTGGAGCTGACAGTTTGAGCAACGCCGGACTCCTTTTTTTTATTTCCCCTGAAGAATGAAGAATAATTTAGCTGCTAAAGGCACGGCAGGCAGCATGCGGGTGTCCTTGTCCTGCAAGGTTAAGAATCCATTCCATCTGAGCAGGAAAGGAGTGAATTAAAATAAATGATGGTCAGATATTTATTGCAACTTTGTAGATGAAGCCTAGAGTCTGTGGAGCAAAGGGGAGAGGGGGGGCTGCCAGTGGCGGAGAGCAGAGAGAGTGACCCCCTACCCCTTTGTACCAACCAGGGAATAAGCTCTCAATGTCATTCTGATATATTTATTTATATCAGCCTATATACCTATATCTATAGAAGCAGCAGGGCAGATGAGAGGGTAGGACGTTTGAGTTTTTGATGGAAAAGTGAGATGAGTTCATGCCATAGACTGTATACAGATGGATAAAGCTAAGCTAGGGAAGTGCTCATGGACGATGTTGTGCTCCAACTCGCTCTGGCTCCTATTGACTTACATTGAAAAGTAAACTCTATCTCTCTAACCATTTTTTGTCACACACACCTTTTTTGATCCTGTTTCTGAGTTGATATTGTCTTTGTAAAAACACATGAGATGTATTAGGCCCACCAATACGAGGCCTTCATTTATGGGGGAAACTACAGCTTGTCTTAGCAACCGTCTTAGCAACATATCTACCAGAATTGGCCATAAAAGAAGATTAGCTTCTGTTCAACAACATTATGTGTGACGTCACGTTCAGTCAGGCCACTCTAATATCGGGTTTGTGCTTCACGCTAACGCAAATGAGTTCTGTCTGGTGTAGCCAAGTAAAAGGTGCAGTTAAATGACAAATAATATAACTGATTAAAGTGTACTGCTGCTGGGTACTGCTGCTATCCTGGGGTCATGTTCCAGCTTAAAGAGAAAAATATGTTTATTCATTTACCCGTTTTTACAGAACTGGGGGATAAAAGATGAGAGGAATCCAAACTTCAATTGTTTACCTGGAAATGTGGTTCCATAAGTTTCTTCAACTGTTTGACCTATTTGTCTAATCATTGATGAACTTCCTCAAAAAAAGTTACTCGTTCTAAGTATTCAAGAAATATACTACTACTCAGAAAGTTTGTTCCACCAGTTACCACAACAATTACTTTTGTTCAAATAGGATCCAAGTTTGTGCTGGGCGTTTTTCCCCTTATACTGACCTTATATTTTTTGGAACTTCAAATAAAAACAAAATAACTGGTATGGCAAAAACAATATTTTTATCACAAAACTTATCTGTGCATTATATTAAGCCAGTCACAGAGAAAGAGGAGGACACTCATATTTTTTTCTATTACTATAATTTTAAATTGTTTTATTTTATTATTAATTTATTTTTGCATGTATTTGATGCATTTCTATTTTGATTATTTACATTTGGGTCTGCAGAGGGACAACAGGGAAAGGATGGCATTGATTTTTGCAAATAAAGAAATTGTGAAATCTATAAATTAAACACAATATGAGTGAGTTTCCTCTCAGCCTCTCTGCCACAGAATCAGAGTATTTATCTTCAATAAGACCCATCGACTGACATTTTTGGCAGCTCTTGTCAACTGTAGCAAAAATGTTGTAATTTCAAACTCAAAATCTGTTGTTCCTTGCTCCCTGGACAAGAGACTTCAAGAGACTTCAAGAGACAAGAGACTTCAGAGATTCAGATTCATTTCACTGGTCGTTTGCAGTAAAACCACATAGAAATAAAACAAACTAAAAAGTAAAAAAATTGCCACTCTAAAATCCATCTCCAAAATCAAACTGTTTTTGTTGATTCATTTCACCGTGACAATTGTTTCTTGTACTTTTTGGCTTGTTCTATTTTCATTTCAATTCAACGCAATTTATTCTTGTATCGCCCTAAATCACAACAGTAGTTATCTCAGCCGACTTTACAAAACCATTGAATTTGCCAACACGGATTAGAGAATCAAACTGTTCAAACACAAGAAATGCAATGATGAAAAACACATAGAGCCATTGGTCCATAAGGAGCAGATGTCCAATGTCCATAAATGTTGATAAATGTCGAGTAAACGTTCAATAACATAGATTTTCTACATATTTCCTGTATTCTCGTCTGCCTCACATCCTTCTATGCCCAGTGATGATCTCATACGGCAGCACTTGGTCCATTACAGCAGCAATAGTGTGCAGTAGCAGGAATCGTTAGCCTTAAAAAACCATTAAAGCCCAATTTTACACATTCGCCTCTAGTTTACATTCTGCACTAGTTCTTCTGCTGTGTGTTCTCTCCGCAAGTAATGCATTTAATTTACAACGACCTCAAGACGGCTCCTTCTCCCTTCCTCCACTCTGGGCGACCGGTCATTAGTCTGTGTTTACACTGAGAGCGGGGCCAGCTGGCATGTGAGTCTGACGGTGGGACCCTTCACCAGGTCCTCCACCGTCAGTCCCCTGGCAGATGGAGTCTTCAGGGCCATACACCCAGGGCCCCTCGGAATATCCATGCATTATATGAGATCTACTATGTATAAAGTACAATATTTCAATTCAATTCAATTCAGTTTATTCTTGTATAGCCCTAAATCACAACAGTATAGTTATCTCAGAGGACTTCATAAGGGGCAGATGACCAATGACCATGAATGTTTATAAAGTTCATAAATGTTGTTGCCTGTCCTGGATCTCACCACTGTCCTTGGACTCTCCTGCATGGGTATTGAAAAACCCACTAGGAGAAAAGTGAGAAACCACAGGGAGGCAGGGAAGGGATCTGCTCCCACGAATGCACAGGCTGTAGATCCAGGACTCAGGCTGTAAAACGAGGACAGAGGCCACAGTCACGTATTAATACAATGTTTGAATACTTACAATTTCCTCTTCGCCAAATAGTAGTTTGGAAAGCCTGTTGTACTTGAATTTTAAGCAAATTATTATTGACTGCCAATATCCAACATGTTGAAGACCGACAATTTTTGGTAAATTAAGAGTTACTTTATTTGACTGCCATCGTTGCAACTTTAAAGGACAAATGTTTTATTGACTGTGTTACAACATTGGTCCTCATCAGTCTGAGACCTGGAGCTGTTTTTAGACCCTTACACGCTGATAAGAGAAACCTTTGATGTACACTGGCACTCTTCTGTTTAAAAGCTCGTTTCTTGCCGTTATTATGGGATCTTGGAAACTCGTAAAAATGGAGATGAACGCTACTGAACTCTGAAATTCGGGCTGAGGTCAATGATCCTTCAGTTTCAGAGTTCACGTCACTGTGACACGTCTCAGATTGTGATTGGGTGAAAAAACAAACTTAGGGGTGGGATTGTTTTTCTTTTTTTTTTTATATGTCTGCAGAGAAAATGTGGAAATAATCAAAACATAATTGCAAACAAAATGAATGAGTGTGTACAGTATGTGTTCTCTTGAAAAAAAAAAAAACATTGAAAAAACACAGGAAAAATGACAAAAACTCAAAGTCAAAACTTGATCTTGATTTTAGTTTTTCCAATTGGACTCACACAAAATAACCTTGTAAAAAGAGACAAGCCTTTTCCCACTTGGAATGAGAAAAACAAATGCTACTGCTCTTGAAATCTTCTATTGAAAGAGTAAATATGGTAAATATGGAGCCTTATAGTGTCTCTGTGTCACAAATGATTGATGATTGTTCTCTTACTGCGCTGAGAGCAGAAGAGTCCGGACAAAGCTACATCCTCATCAATGCTCATGACCACAGAGACATCACATCATATCTCTAACCTCTGGGACCTCAATGCCGTGGTTCCTTGAGGAGGTGGGATTGGCTTTGGCCGGAGCTGCAGACGCCAGCAGAGGCCCAGGGAGGTGCAGGCTCGCTGGGAGGGCAGGGCAGGTGTGACCTCCTCTGCTCTTCCTGTCCGCTCTCCTTCACACACTCAGGAGGTGTTGTTGCTTCCATCAGGCTGCTGTCCTGAAGTTCAGACCACGACAGAGCAACACACTCACATACAAGCCACCGGAACATCACTTTAAGACAAAAAAAAATAACTTTTATTGTTTTGTAGCGCAGACAAAACTGAACAAGCTAACATCTCCACAAACCTTTCTCGTTCTTGTCTTGGAACGGGCCTGTTCTTTTCTACAGTAGTAAAAACATGTATAAAATCAGATAAGAATCCCTTTATTCATCCTACAGTGGGGACGTTTCAGTGTTGCAGCGCACACACACACAGGGCAGTAGTAAGAGCACACAAGTGACCTATGAAAAGAGCCGGTCCTTTCGCTTTTGGGGGCCTAAGCACAGGTCCTTCTGGAGGCCCTCCAGCCAATTCAATGGGAACGTTAAGCTGTCAAACACCTCAGAATCAAACCGTGACCAGTTAAAACAGTCGTCTGTCTGCTACATTACAACATGAAAACCTGCGGCTTATTTTCCAGTGTGGCCTATATGTGGACAACATCAGTTTCCTTTTTAGTTGTGACTGGTGCGGCTTGCATACAGGTGTACTTAAAAAATAAATAAATCAGCATTTAAAGAGCCATGAATATATGTATACGTTTTAAATGTTTTGTTATCATTCCAAAGCCTTGTGTGATGTGGAGGTTCTACGAACAGTGGTTAAGATCCAGGACAATTGACATTAAATAACATTTATAGACATTTATGCCCCTTACGGATCAATGTGTTTTTTTCTCGTTGCATTTCTTGAGTTTGAACTGTTTGATTCTCTAATCTGGGTTGGCGGATTGACAGATTTGTAAAGTCCTGCCCGATAACAACTGTTGTGATTTAGGGCTCTACAAAAATGAATAGAATCGAATTGAATTGATATTTGAGTGGTTTAAGAAAGAATAGTGGTGTAAGACTTGAATACTCCCTGCACTTTTAAACCCTGGACTCAAACACAATTCCAGAGCACACCGTCCGAACAGAGGGCAGTGCAAATACGGTCGTGTCTGGTCCAAAGCCGAAAACCGCTGCCTAAAGTGGTGAATTGGTGACCTGGGAGGGCGCACACCGGTCTTCTGTTGACTCAGGTGTTTTACGATGAACTTCTTCCTCTGACCTCGCCTTTGCCATGAGGCCAGAGCCACCAATTCCCCATCATCCTTTGCTTTATCACCAACAGCCACAAGACAAAGAGGTCTGCAGTAGTGTGTACCTGGCCAGCGAATGCACCCCTCGTGATGGAGTTTATGACAGAGGGGAGAGGGGGGGAGAGAGGGGGAGGCACTGGAGGCACCTTGACCTGTCCCTGTTCGGAAGACCTAACTGAACCTTGTCCCACGCCTTCCACCCCCAATGCGACCTGGCCACTCTAACAGCCTCTGAGTTATTATCATAATTTCTCACAGGGGCCTCTCGCCAGCACAGGGAGCATCCGTGTTTTACAGAATGTTTTGTGTTTTATTGCCGTTAAGTCACTCATAGGCCAGCTGATCGGGCCCCGCAATGATAAGAAAAGCAGTCAAGTGAAAAATGAAGGACCCCGCCAACTGGACGGAGGTGCGGAAGGGAAATAATAAAATACATGACAAATGTGAAGCAGGGCTGTATTTCATGTTCAAAGCTCGGCCTCGCCTTCAAACGCAGCCTGCACTATAAGAACATATGGGTATAATGAATTCAGCCAATTTCATGATTTCAAATAGAAAAAAAAGGAAAAAAAATACCACCACTTAAAGTTTTGTCAGATGATTTGAGGGTTTAAAAAGCTACCCGTGTGTCCTCGCTCTCCCTCCGAGGGTCAGAGTCACTATTTGACTGGTCAGCATCTCTTTTTAACTTTTCTACTTGAAATATCCGATCTAAAAATGTAATGGAGGCCAAAATTATGCATGTGAAAATGATAAAACCAAACAGTTCCATGGATCTTATGACAAAGTTCTAATTTTACATTTCCCCAAAAATACAGTAAACAATTAGATTTCTTTTGTCTAACTCTACATGTTTTGGCGTCACCTTGGCCTCGAAAAAAAGGAAAAAAAACACTATTTCATGTCAGAGTCAGTTTTTGACACTTTGACTGGCTGTGTGAGGGTGGGCACCACTTTATTACGTTTCTTCTTGAAAAATCTGATCTAAAAAAATCTGACAGGGACCAAAAATGATGCATGTGAAAAGTACTGAACCAAACGAGGAACTAGTATCATGGATCCTATGACAGCATTTATGAGGTTTAAAAGTGAGGTACGACAGGTTAGACTAGTATACAGGAAACAATTAGATTTCTTTTGTCTAACTTTATCTGCTTTGGCCTCGCCTTCAAACGCAGCCTGCACTATAAGAACATATGGGTATAATGAATTCAGCCAATTTCACCATTTCAAATAGCACCACTTATTTTTTTTTTGTCAGATGATTTGAGGGTTTGAAAAAGCTGTGCCACCCGGTCCTCGCTCTCCCTCCTAGGGCCTTTGACAACATGACGGTCTTTAGATGCCCAGGGGCATTCCAAGCTGCTGCCACTGCGGCCATTTCATGTCAGCGCCCACCTGGGGTAAACAAAGCAGGATAGAGCAGCTGCATAGTCACTCAAAAGACGAGCGGTGGCAAACACTCTCCAGCCGTCGAACTTTGAGTCTTAAAAACCGCGCTTTCATTGGCTCTTTACTGCGGTAATCCTCCCACCAACATTGCACTCTGATCCCCCGCAGGGTTTCAGGGGCAGGACTATCGCTAATGAAAAATAAAACAGCTGTTTAATCTATCAATTTCAAAGGAAAATCCCCTTTTGATCTAAAATGATATTGATCTGACTGCCTTCGTTTTGTGGCCAGGGTTTCTCCTTTAAACTTGAAATATAATGGGAGTCTTTGTTGCAAATCAATATTGCTTTTGAGGGCCTGTTTCAAAGTGCTGCATTTGAATACGTCTCTATTTCCATGTGTCAGACTCAAATGAAGGTTGCATCAGTTCAGGTTTAGACGAGTCTCTGAGGATTCAGGAGATGCAAATGGCCGGACTGTTAATAAGTGAGCTTTGCAGACACGCGGTGATGAAGCCGGCGTGTGGTGGAATGAACTAGTCCTAATGCTCCGTAAGGTTTAGCATGTCTGTCCTCACTCCTCACTCAGACCCCTGCTATCGCCTCATCTCCCATTTTCCTTAATTACACTTTGGCATATTGCTTTTGGGCCATATGGAAGCCAGATATTGAGACCAGATAAGATGTATAAACTTCTGTCAACACTGCAGCATATTAACTAGAGCTGGAACCATATTATCTCCACTGTATCCTTCCAATTAGTGTCCGATATCAGAATACATTCAAACAAGCTGGTCGATGAGAAGGAGGAAGAACATTACCGGAATGGTCCCTTTATCTGATTTTTATTAAAATTGTATTACATATCTGTATTTATTTTCATGCCACCAGATGAAAAGCCATTTCCATAAAATCCAATAAGAGGTTGAGTAACAGGGTTTGTAACGTGTGCATTCAGTCCAGTAGTAAACTGGGAATAATGGAGTTTTCTATGAAGTTGATGCTGTAGCTGAGGATAGTTTTGGCTTAAATAAAAAGGTATTATGTAAATGTAAATTCATATCCTTTTCCTAAAGCAGAGGTACCCAACTTTTTAGTTTAATAAATGATAAATAATACATACGTTTGTCCCAACAGAAAGTCTCTGAAAAGTAAAATAGGAAGAAATCAGACACGATCTGTTGCTTTCATCTCATAAGAAAACATTGTATATTCAAAAAAAGTAAGCAAATGCCCTCAGGGCCTTGGTCAGGTGCAGACTAAGAAAGAGCCCTGTGAGTCACTATTTGACTTTTGGGCTGAGGGCTGAGGGCTGTCGCACATCAAAGAGACCAAAACATTAAAACTTGTGGTGCACTAAACAGTTTTGAACTTTGCTATGAACTAGCAAGAAGGTTCTGGGTTCAATTCCACCTCCAGGACCTTCTCTGAGTGCTCCGGTTTCCCAGACCACTAAAAACATGTACAATAGGTCCGGCATGTGGCTCCTGTTCGGCGACCCTGCTCCCCTCTCTGTGTGGAGAGAGTGGACAAATGCCCACAACATTTGTAAAGCGCTTTGTGACTGTGGTCTCTGAAAGGCGCTATATAAATAAAGATGACTTACTAATTTGGAGGACTTCAAATTTGTTGTTGATTCGCCAAAAGCAGATCCGAGAAATCAGAGGGATTTTTCTTTTCTCCAAAAACTTTTTTTTAATTTACTAAATAAAATAATTCGTGGGATATAAGCACAGGACCAGGGGCCTCATATCACAAGTTTGAATCCTTTGTGATCAGCTCCAGTTCTGCACATTATTGATGAAATATTGTCAAACAGACGCCTTTATTCACACTTGTCCCCTGTTTCACTTCGGTTAAAACTCTATTCAACTCTAAAATGACAAGGGGATAATATATAAGCACTTTAAACCCAGTTTGACCTGTGTGTGGATCAGATATGGACCAGACTCCCCTCTCCCTGACTCCTGCTGGGGCATTTAGGCCTGGGAAAAGATGGGAATATGGAGTGACACTTGTAACTGAAATACTATAAATGTAAGTTGAAAGCTTAAAACGGCGAAGACATTAAGCTACGACATCGCTTTCTTCTTAACAAATAATTCATGTTGTTTGTCTCAACAGAAAGACAACATCTTATTGGAATATTTTGTATCTTTTGACTCTCTGGGCTGAGAGGCGATTGGCTGCGTGAGGGTGGGCATCTCTTTTTCATGTTTCTATTTAAAAAACTCTGATCTAAAGATGTGACAGAGGCCAAAGAAGATAAATCCAAACAAGGAACTAGGATTCTTTGACAAAGTTAATTTTTTATGTGGTTTAAAAGTGAGGTGCTCCAGCTAAGGGTTGGACTAGATTTCCCAAAAATACACTAAACAATTTTTATGTATTGTTTTAATTTAATTTGTTTTGGCTCTTTAATTTCAATTTGAACTTGTTTTAATAATTATACTTCCTGTTTGTACGAGATATTGGCTTGGTCTGATCGAGGCTGGTACCTGGCAAACATCTTGTATTGCTGTTTTAAAACTGCTCAAATCTATATGAAAATCATGATTTGAGTATTTATTTATTTATGTATCTATCTATTTATATTCATGCATATGAAGGCGTGACACCAGTTCTCTAAGCTAGTATAATTTTCAGGATTTATACATTTAATTGGGCATTTTTTTGTCATCACAACTGTTCCTTTAGAGGAGCAAAACTATAATAAATTCACATGTTCTGCCACTAAAGAAAATACGTTAACGTTGTCATTTACGCACTTACATTATTGAAATTCTAATACATGAATGAGCACAATATTTCTACAATTATGTTCAAGAAAACACTCTTTTTTCTGGCAAATCTTGTGCAGAAATTTTGATTTTTCATATTTCCAATTACAAAAAACCTTGTACAGCCATCATCACAGTTAGTATTGTTGTTTATTGTCCAATTCCCACATACAATAAGAGCTAATGTGACTGCACTGACGACGGGCGCAAGAGGTCACTGCAACATCCACACAGGAGTAAGGAGACGAGGGAGTGGAGAAAGGTCACTTTGAAAAACTGGATGCAAACACATGCCAAACAGCGTCTCTGGACTGCACTGGTGCTCTCTAATCCCTCCTCTGATCCACAGATATTTGGGCCAATCATCGGGGCCTTCCTCAACCTGTGATCAGTGGGTCCTAATCTGCGTCCTCTTGCCCAGCCTCGGTGCACCTCGGCTGGGCTCGGGCCAGCTGCCAGCCAGGGAGTGGCAGGCGCACACTCCTCCACAGAGACAGCTAGAGGTTGTCTCTACATGGATGGGCACTTCGCGGCTCGGCAGGGGCGGGAGGAAGGGGCAAACCGGCAGCTGCTCAGGGCATATGGGCAGAATTCATTAAGTCTGGCTAAATACACCGATTGTGGAGGCGGCTAAAAATGTGTGTTTGTAGCAGCTTTGACAGACAGACAACAAAGATGGATTTCTGGACAGACACATGGAGAGACAGACAGACAGATCCCCATAGAAGAAATTCAGGCGTCTAGCAGCAATAACACAACCATCCACACATACAATAATTAAATAATTCTAAAAGTTACTAACAATAGACATACAGTATAGGCTTGGAGAGAGAGACCTGGAGACACACACTTGGAGAAAGAGTCTTGGAGATAGAGACTTGGAGACAGAGACATAAATACAACACATCATTCTAAAACTTTCTAACAATAGACAGAGGCATGAGGACTTGGAGAGAGAGATGTGGAGACAGAGACCTGGATAGATACTTCATGGATCCCCCTTGGAGAAATTCAGATGTCAAGCAGCAGAAACCCATCCATCCATACAAACATAAATAAATACATAATTCTAAAAGTAACTAACAATAGACAGAGGTATAGACTTGGAGAAAGAGTCTTGGAGACAGAGACATGGAAGCAGAGATCTCAAGACAGTTTCATGAAGACGATTCGACACCTTCCAGATGAAAAGCTGGAGTATTTGTTAAAGGCAGTGATTAATAGTTTGATGCGTAGATTGTGTGTCCTTGAATACTTCGCTGAACATCACACCAACTGTCATGAGACAGCCGGTGCCTCAGACATCCACCTAATGACTTTCTGTAAATATTACAACTGTTTCACTAATAGAGCTGCAGTGACTTTGAAGAATACATCAATATTACCACACATGAACCAAAGACAAACACAGCCGCACAGTACACAAAGCTTTGTTAACTCCATTACATTCTCATTTCAAATCAGGAAACATCTGTCTAGACATCTCTCAAGACAATCAGTCTCCACAGCTTCAAACGCAAGGAAACTGTTGGTTTTGACAGCAATAAATACGCAAGGTTTTTGTGATGACTCATTCACACTGGCGGCTTTTATCCAGTGAAACTTTAATGTATGGTAATCCTCAAAGTGTCAATGAGAAGTCTGTTCAATGCTTTTGAGATAATAGTGGAGACAGGGCGGCTCCTATCGAAGAGCTGAGATAAAGTCAATGCCACTGTCAATAACAACAGGGTCTGGGCCTGATGAAAAATGTTCATTTTAACACAATCAAGTGGATTTCAGCTTAGCTCATTATCAACCTTGGACTTGTGGGTCTGTGATAATGTTGTTGTTGTAGAGAGGTTTTTATCAGCAAGTTTTTGGAAAAAGCAAATGCTCTCAAAGACAAACTACATTATAATGGATTTTTTTGGGTTTATTTAACAAAACAAACAAACGGGTAGTTACAAAGACAGTGTGAAAATCATAGACCTAAAGTTGTGATCGCTCCCAGTTTACACACAAGTTTTACTTGATGCTTGCCCTTAAGTTACATACAGTTCCTCACTCTCTCCTTGATCCCATTCCATCAGCAGCTCTGAGGACACCTCTGTAAACAGATGATCCCAGTCCCAGCTCACATCGTCCTGCAGAGGGGGAAGAAGAATGAGAGGCAGCTCCGAAACACTGCGAGAAGAGAGGGGGAAGTGCTAATGTACACATCATAAATCTAAATTACCTGAGAGACAAGTGGCACGCTCCCCTGTGCCCCAGAAACAGCTGGACAGAGCATCAGCGGGGGCTCACAGCTATATTTACCAAAAAAACTCACTCACCTCCTTCACCTCCTGCTCCGGTGCTAAAACCTTGGTGAGGAGCCTCAAGTCAATCTCTCCGTCCTGAGGAGAGAGAGAAGACGTTCACTTTGCTTGCACAGATGCTGATGCGAGTGGAGATCAGTTTAAATGTACAACCTTGAGGACAAAAGAATGTAAAAAGTACATGTTTGTGACTTACTAATGTCTGAAAGGCGGAGTAGTACTTCAGGTCATTGTCCAGGTCTCTGTAGGTCATCACCCGGTTCACCTGGATACTAACAATCACAAATACAGTCCTTGTGTAAGAATGGACGCTGACAACAACTGCTCAGTTATGGACTTAGTTTTAAACAAGATTCTAAAATTCTAAAAAGCAGATTGTTGCCAGGTCGTAAATGCCTTAAATTGAAACCCAGCTGCTTATCCATGGGTTGGAATTAAGTAGGGGGGTCTCTGAAAGTGGCGAGGGCCTAGCAGTGCATGCCAGTCCTACTTACTGCACATTACACGCTACATTGCCCCCACAATGAGTTCAATGTGGATATTATCTGGCACAGAGAGCAAGCCCGAGCCTAATAACCTCCACCACTGTCATAGCCTTGCTACATATTCGACACATGTCGGCGTGTCTCTGGCTGCCCTGTAAATCAAAGGGCCCAGTTAGTAAGGGCCCTGGTAACAGAGTTGCATAAATCATATCAACTGTTATTTCTGCATTTTAGCCCCATAAAGTAAGACCCTGTGATGGCACTGGAGGACAGGCAGCCACCAAAGTCACAAAGGCCACTGCACTCCACAGTAAGCTGCACACTGCCCATGAGGAGGAGACGGCGAGTACCTTGGTGGAGCTGCGATTTGCATGGTGAGATCTTCCTCCTGCACCTCGTCAAGGTCTGGGATGACTGGGATATCTGAAAGACACAAGATACTCTCAGCTAAACATGATAAAGAACGAAGAGACGTTGCCTTATTGGAATTGGACTGATCTTCCTGGAGTTTTGGTTTATTCCATACTGTGGAATAAAACAAAAAAACTAAAACATTTCCATTGAAGCCAGCATGACTCGGCTCTGGACACGTACGAGTCAGGTTTGGGGAAATGCAAGACGGCTCAGAATGGAACATTATTTGTATATTATATTCTTCTTGGTTCCGTAACAGTAGGTCCCAGGTGTATTGCGGCAGGGGTCTGATTGTGTGACCATGTGTTCTCTCCTCTTACTACAGCCTCATAGAGCTGCCCTGTCAGGAGCATGCTGCCATGAATATTCAGGAGGCTACGCGTCAGCTCTTCCCGCTGTGAGAGGGGCGCGGGCCAGGGGCTCCCCTGAAAGCACCCCCTGCTACCTAAGCATTTGGGCCCTGTCAGAGCAGCCCACCCCCAGGACCTGCGCTGGCCACCGGGCCGACCTGTGTGTCCACACTGCCACTCCGCCTGGGGTCTGTCCAGCCTGGAGCAGGAGTATTTGCTTACGGGTCCATCTGTGTGGGGTCGGGAGTCACGGTGCGGCCTGGCAGGAGCCACAGCGCCAGGAGCTGCCAACCACGGCTCAAACAGTGGGAAAGCACTTTAATTGGCAAAACGCAACAGGACAGAGGATGTTTCGACTCACAAGAAGGACAGGGCAAACTTCCACATGGACTTATGGTAAAAAAGGCAACTGCAGGTATGTTGACATATTTGGAAACATTCTTGGCTAAAATGATTCATCACAAGATAAAAAAGTAAGAACAAGGGATGAAAAGACAAAGAGACTCAATTTGACAACAGGCTCCGCCCTTTTACACCCAAGCCATTCAGGCCTGCGCCTAATTTTGATTACATGCTTGATTGTTGATTAGGATTTTTCTTTAGTAATGAGCTTTGTCTCTCGTGGCTGCCCGCTCTCAGCTAACACTGTGCAGCCACCTCAGCCTCTTCACCTGACATCTTATAATAAATAATACCACACCCTGGAACAGACAAAACAATTAAATAAAGTCGAGCCTGTCTTCATCTGTGTAAATGCAGACAGAAGATAGACTGTAGCAGAAAAAAGAGCGTCACAAGGAAACCGCAGTGATGTTGCCCAAGAGGTGAGTCAGTACAACAGGTGATGTGAGGCAAGAGCAGACCCTATCGTTCATATACTGCTACTCCAACTTCTCCCAGTTACAGGTTGTAAACAGTAAAGAAAGCATTTCATTTAACACATGACTGTTTTATTGCTCCCTTGTTTCTATTCTAATCAAATAATAAACACTTCTTTCATTGACCACTGACCGGAGACAGAGGTGTTTCAGATCCAAATAAATGCATGCACAGGTACTTCATATGCATGAGGCCGTGGTGACACCTTGTCCTTTCATTTACAAAGCACAGTGATCAGCAGAATCCGTCCCCCCTGGACCCCCAATCAAATGTGATGGTCTTTGTGCATTGACATCAAAAAGTCTTGCTATCCGGCATCTCACAAATAACTAACAGAGCCCACTCCCAGTCATGTACAATTAGCACCAGATCGATTTAAAGCCAACCTGTGCGTATGCAAAGTGTAATATTAGGAGCAACAACATCCTAAATGAGCTTCAAATCCAGCCCATTACTGGGGGTCACACGGGGCAGAGAGAGGGAGTCACAAACAAGAGGTGTTTTCTTTTCATCTAAAGGGCAGGTCTATCAGGAGCACTGCACATTACTGAGACTTGACTTCCTTCTCCCAGCAGCTCGGCGCAGATCAAGGCTGCTTTTGTCTGGCAGAAAGAGGCCCACGTGTGTATTTATCACAGTCAGGTTCAGCAGGTATCAAAAGAAAATCATTGACTGTGAAAGTAGGGACCAGCCCACTCCGAAGAAGACAACTGAACTGTACAGAGCAGCTCAAAGTATGAGAAGAGCTGTGTTTGTCCATTGGAAGTGACCATCAGGATGCTTGGGGGGGGGGCACTGATGAAGAGATTGGAGCTGGATACAGGGCCTTCTCTCTTCTCTTCTTTTTGCCGGTGGACATAAGGGATAAGGGTGGGGGACACAATCAAGATGGCAGGCCTATCTCACTAACCCTCAGCACTGTCATTTCAGATGCCCCTGCCTCGGGCTCTGCATGGAGAGCTCTCCCTCCGTCCGGTAATGATCGTTCCAGGAGCATTTAAGCCGCGTTCACACTTCTCCAAATCGTAAGAAATTAAACTATGTGATTCATCTATAGTTCCTTAACAGTCTGGTTCTATCACTGTAAAAATAATAATAACTAGAAACTTGCAATGGCTGAAGCCATTGCGATTGACTGCGGAACAGATCTAATGTGGAAATCTGCTAAAAAAAATCCTTGAAATCCTTTAAAAGGCCTTGAAACTGTTAAAATACTTGATAGATATTTGAAACTCCTGAAGTCCTTGAAATTGTTGAAACCTTTAAACTCCTGAAATCCTTGAAACTGTTGAAACATTGAAACTCCTGAAATCCTTGAAACTTTTTTTAAACCTGGAAACTGTTGAAAGTGTGGAAACTCCTGAAATCCTTGAACCTCCTGATATCCTTGAAACTGGTTAAATTCTTAAACAGTTGAAATCCTTGAAACTACTGAATGTATTGAAAGTGTCCTTGAAACTGAAAAATCCCCTCACCGCTGAAACAATTTGGTTCCTGTAACTAAGGAAACCTGGTCTGTGGTCATTATCTGGTGGTGGTCTGAGTCTTCGTTTGGGTCTTGGTCTGGTGGTATAATGCAACCTATTAGGTTGCATTATACTGGTTTACATGGAAAAATCCCTATTAGGTTGCATTATACTGGTTTACATGGAAAAATCCCTATTAGGTTGCATTATACTGGTTTACATGGAAAAATCCCTATTAAGTTGCATTATACTGGTTTACATGGAAAAATCTCTATTAAGTTGCATTATACTGGTTTACATGGAAAAATCCCTATTAGGTTGCATTATACTGGTTTACATGTACAAATCCCTATTAAGTTGCTTTATACTGGTTTACATGTAAAAACCCCTATTAGGTTACATTATAGTGGTTTACATGTAAAAATCCTTATTAAGTTGCATTATACTGGTTTACATGTAAAAACCCCTATTAAGTTCCATTATACTGGTTTACATGTAAAAACCCCTATTAAGTTCCATTATACTGGTTTACATGTAAAAACCCTATTAAGTTGCATTATACTGGTTTACATGGAAAAATCCCTATTAAGTTGCATAATACTGGTTTACATGGAAAAATCCCCATTAAGTTGCATTATACTGGTTTACATGAAAAAAACCCTATTAAGTTGCATTATACTGGTTTACAAGGAAAAATCCCTATTAAGTTGCATTATACTGGTTTACATGGAAAAATCCCTATTAAGTTGCATAATACTGGTTTACTTGGAAAAATCCCCATTAAGTTGCATTATACTGGTTTACATGGAAAAAACCCTATTAAGTTGCATTATACTGGTTTACATGGAAAAATCCCTATTAAGTTGCATTGTACTGGTTTACATGGAAAAAACCCTATTAAGTTGCATTATACTGGTTTACATGGAAAAAACCCTATTAAGTTGCATTATACTGGTTTACATGGAAAAAACCCTATTAAGTTGCATTATACTGGTTTACATGTAAAAACCCCTATTAAGTTGCATTATACTGGTTTACATGGAAAAATCCCCATTAAGTTGCATTATACTGGTTTACATGAAAAAAAACCCTATTAAGTTGCATTATACTGGTTTACATGAAAAAACCCTATTAAGTTGCATTATACTGGTTTACATGGAAAAATCCCTATTAAGTTGCATAATACTGGTTTACATGGAAAAATCCCCATTAAGTTGCATAATACTGGTTTACATGGAAAAATCCCCATTAAGTTGCATTATACTGGTTTACATGTAAAAAACCCTATTAAGTTGCATTATACTGGTTTACATGGAAAAATCCCTATTAAGTTGCATTGTACTGGTTTACATGGAAAAAACCCTATTAAGTTGCATTATACTGGTTTACATGGAAAAAACCCTATTAAGTTGCATTATACTGGTTTACATGGAAAAAACCCTATTAAGTTGCATTATACTGGTTTACATGTAAAAACCCCTATTAAGTTGCATTATACTGGTTTACATGGAAAAATCCCCATTAAGTTGCATTATACTGGTTTACATGAAAAAAAACCCTATTAAGTTGCATTATACTGGTTTACATGAAAAAACCCTATTAAGTTGCATTATACTGGTTTACATGGAAAAATCCCTATTAAGTTGCATTATACTGGTTTACATGGAAAAATCCCTATTAGGTTGCATGATTACACTGAAGTCCTTGAAACTGCTGAAGTCCTTGAAACTGCTGAAGTCCTTGAAACTGCTGAAGTCCTTGAAACTGTTGAAGTCCTTGAAACTCTTGAAATCTTGAAACTGCTGAAATCCTTGAAACTGTTGAATCCTTGAAACTGTTGAATCATTGAAACTGTAGAAATGTCTGAAAGAGCTGAAGTCCTATTAAAATGCATGGGCCTATTAAAATGCATTGCAGAATTCTCAATGCAGATTTTTGTCCGATTGCGGAAAAACCGGAAATCGCTGAAGTCCCAAAAGTAATAGCAATAATCTCCCAAACATGTGGAACGTTTTGATGTATAACTTGTGGAAATTGTTGAAAATGTGAAAGCTGTGAAACGTGTCAAAAAAAATGACGGAATAAAGAAATACAAAACCAATGGTTGACTGCGGAAGGTTCCGCAGTCAATCAATAATAAAGCATAAAGTTTTATATAGAACTTTTTGTGTCCAAGTGGCTTGTGGGTTCCAAGAGGCTCCATGTGGCATTATTAACTCACTCCATACACAGTGGTGAGAAACTTCCACTGTAGTAGAGGCCACAGCTGCCCTGATGCAGCCAATAAGTGCCACCGACCATTAACGTAAACGCCAGACGAGGAAATGTGGATTAAAAACTGCCTCCCTGCGTTTTCACTTTCCAGCCACAGCCACCCCACTGTGGCAGCTGATGTTCTCAGAGGTCTCTCATCACAGAAGTAACCAGGCCCATCCCTGCTTAGATTCATATGTCTATAGGGTTCTGGCTTTCCCATGCATGTAGCACCACTATTTTTCAAATTCAAATATTTTTGGCCCTGGCCACATCTTTAGATCAGCTTTTTCAAACATAAAAAGAATAAAGAGGGGAGCATCCTCACTCAGCCAATCAGCTCTCAGCCCAAAGTGTTAAATAGTGACTCACAGGGTTCTTTCTTACACATAAAAGATAACATATATTCTAGTAAGATGAAGACATACAGCTGGTCTGATTATTACGTTTTCTATAGACAATCAAAATGTAAAATAATGCATGTGTTTTTCTATAACGCTTATTATGAGAAAATATGTTTAATCATATAAGCCATTTATCCATCACATAAGCTTTTAGATTTACAGCATCCATGGGGAGTAGAATGAAGAAAATATTATTGCAATTATCGATTGATAAACAGAACAACTTTTGAAAGAAGAATGACGGCTTCAAATAGGACACCCGTCAGAGCGACGTTTTATCTCCTAATTGGTGTCTATTATAAAAGCACCAGGCGAAGGCTGTCAGTTTGCAGAGGGTGAGGCGGCGGCTTTTCCTCGGGCCGTAGCCACGACTGGAGCAGTGGAAAGCAATGATGGGCCTGTTTATCTGCTCCACTTGCACAGGATGGATGCGCTGGGAGCCACTGGGAGACTCTCTCTGCCCGTGAGGAAAGACGTGCTTACCTCCTTCATCATCCGATCCCTCCGGAGTCTGCGGCCGCAATCGCCGGCTGGAGAAAGAGGGGGAATTATTTAATGCTTCCAATAGTGAGGTCATAGGAGTGGTCTTTTATTTTTTACATATACACAAGTGGTTTTTATCTTAGTATGTGTACACTCTTAATTCAAAGGGTCATTCAAAAGGAGACATTTCTTGTATCTTTTTCAAACAAGATCATTTAGTTTGTTTTAAGGCAGTCAGAATGTGCTCAGATTAAGATAAATTTGGCCAAATATTTTTTTCATCCCTTTTTTCAGAGCAGCTGAAACTAGGAAAATTGGAATATAGTTCAAAAGTTGATTTACTTTTGTGAATACATTTACAATATCAAACTAATGACACTCAAACTGAGACATATGAAGCCATTGTTTGTTCTAATGTTGATAATTAAGGCTCACAGATTTAAAAATCACAATAAAAACAACACTAACAGTTGAATATTGTGAGAATGGACTGTGAGAAACAATCAGGCTTAGCTGTATATATTGGTTACCTATTGTAAGTTAAAATACATGAATACATAAACTTTACAACAATTGTGTAATTTTCCCAGTTTCACCTGGTTAAAAAATAATACACAAGAAGCAACAAATATAAACCACAATATACAGTTTGAACAGGAGTTGGAAGGAAGTGAATCAGTTCCAAACAGGGCTGAAGGACATGGTATTGATTTATAAACATTGAAGAAATTAACATTGCAAAAGCAACAAATGAAACAATATATATATATATATGTAAAACAAAAACTAAATTTCCAATAGAACTTTTAAACACTGTTTAGTAAACAATTATATTATTTCTGGAAAAGGCTTTGTTTTCACTGAATCCATAGTTATATTGTAAAGACATATGACATTTTTTATGACATAATAATATACTGTAACGCATGCAATACACAGTCGTTGATTTGCTCAGTCAGTTCAGTTTAATACAAGTCAAAAATGGCACCACCCTGAAGCAGTATTTTTATTAATGGGACCCATAACATTATAAATAAACAACACACCTTCCTTTGCACTAACACAAAACTCATACAAACCCCTTCTTCAAAATAAGGGGCTTCTACAAAATATTCAATTGCCAACTTTTGCTCTGAAATTTGGTGCAGTGTATTTTAATTGCGAGATTGTTTGACCTTAGAGACAAAAAAAGGACAATTTGAAAGCCAATTGTGCTTTTCCGAACAAAAAAATATCTGATTGGCTGCTCAGTTAAACTTTATACTAATATTAAAAAGGGTGATGTTCAAAGCACTTACTCCTCCATGTCCTCAGTCGCAGGCCGTCTGGACGATCTGTGAAAAATACTACAAACATAAGTACAACATATTTTGAAGCTTCCTTTGTCAATTAAAATGTTTGAGAAATAATAGAATATTTTATCTTCTATGTATTATTATTTCTTTTTTACATTTTACAGCCTACCCAAATCACATCATCAAATTGAAGGAAGATTGAATATAGTATTACGGTGGAGTAGTGCCCCCTGCTGGTGGTATATAAACACATCCAGGCGGTAAACTTTTCTCATAAACCAAAATTAGCTATAGGAGATTATGTATAATGGGATGCAAATATAGCAAAGAGAGACAAGAGAAAGAGAGAGACAGAGACAAGAGGGAAAGAGAGAGAAGAGAGAGAAAGAGATGAAGAAAGAGAGTGAACGAGATACTTATTTAACAATTACACATTGTTTTTCTATGGAACAATACATCGCCTCCAGTTCAGTTACATTTATTTAGAGAATTCAAGACAGATTCTCATGATTTTACATTAGAGCTTTTGTAAAGAGCAATGTTAGAAGTTATTAATCCAAAAAAATTTGTTTAAAAGTGTGAGAAGTAAATGTACGGCAATCAGAAGTGGAGCTACCTGGCTGCCCTTGACCAGTGTCTGGGTGGAGGACTGTGGGAGGCGAGACATTACTGGCCCCTTGATTAAGACTCATGTAAAGGCAAAGTGATAGACATGGTAAAACTGTCTGGAAAAAGTTGTTAGGGATAAAATATATTGTGACAAACTGGCTTCAAAGGTTCATCAATACACTGACAGATCATTTAGTGTCAATTAGAAGTGATAGATGGACAAATCCTGGGATATCTGTGCTGGGATTAGTGGGAGGAGGGCGGTGATTGAGCAGACGAGGTGACATTGAACATGCGGGCCCTTGTCTGCTCCAGTGGGGGCCATCACTTACTTTGTTTCAGAGAGGATCGATGCGCCACTTGCGTTGCAATAGCGGCGGTTTAAGCTGGGTTACACCAAAGCGAGCAACTCTTTGTAGAAGGGAAGAGCTAATGACTAACTATACCCTGATATTCTTTGACCAGAGTGCATTACAGATTTAGCTACAGATGTATACAGTTGTTGCACTAGACTATACAGTACTTTATATTTTGCTTCTGTAGCTGAAGACAGAGATTTGATGTTATCTTATGTTTTAAGTAAAAGTTCGTAATATTCACTTATCTTGTGTGCTCCTTGTTCTTACTGCTCTGTAACTTGTGATGCAACACTGAAATTTCCCTCAAAGGAGCTCTTAATCTCTTAATGATTTTTATATGCGGCCACTGGACCCTAATAATTTCAATTAAAAATATAAATCTGTAAATCAGTCTACAAAACCCGGACTTCTTAACCTTTGGTCCTGATTTGGTCCAGTCCAAGCCAAACCAAAACAGATTATCAAAACCCATTATCAATGTAATAATAATGTATTAATATTTAACAAAAAAGCCACAAATTTGACATGGTTTTGCTCCGTGCTTTCCTCTTCTACTCTTTAAATATTTCTGTTCATCACATAACTGAAGCAGCTTTCTATACTATAGAAAGCTGTTGGGTCCAGGCCTCAACAATATTCCATTGTGGCCCCTCAGAGAATACACTTGCCAAACGCTGTGCTGGAATTAATCTATTTAAGTTAGATTCAGTTAAAAAAAAAAAAAATCAGTATTTTACCATGGCCCTTTTCTCAGATATTCCGTCTTTTAAAAATACATAATAATACATATTGATATTTTCATTTTAATGACAACAATTAGTCTTCAATAAATGAAGTTGAAATGCTTTAATAGTGTTGTGTTTTTGTTCAAATGTGGTGAAGCGTTAGACAAGGGCCTTTATCATTTCCCGAATCCTGTTGCATTGTTTAGAAATACATTGTATGGCACAAAAAGTCCTCTGCATCGCGATAAGTATCTGTCGGCTCCGACAGATTCCCAGCTCGCCCTTGATCCCCTTTCTGCTCCTTACACTGTAAACTTACACTGTAAACCAGACCAGTGGAGTTAGTGCATCCTCAAGTACATTCCCAATGCATGTTAAATATATTTATACACATACAGGAGCTACAGCGCTTCCCATTGGTTTGTTTGGCTGTGTATGACTAGCACTTTAAATCTGGTGCAAATATTAGAAGAATTTCCCATGCTCCCCTCCCTGTGAAGAGCGGAGACAGAGGGAGCTGCATTGGGGGTGATGAAGTGGCGAGCTGACGGACACTGCCCTCCTGTGGCTGATGAATTAGCCGTGTGTCAATTACCGCCTTGCTCCCAGATGAAGACGAATGAATAGTTGCCCCGCTCAGACAGACTCCCTCTAACCTTGTTGATTCACAGCCCGGGTGCCAAATATGCGCTGATAAATAAGCTCGTTCGGCGGCATGAGGGTTCATTAATAACGGGCAGAAGTACTATTTGAGTAGACGGGAGAAAAAAGACAAAGACTTGTACTTGGCAGATCCAGAACCGGCGCTTTCTTCAGCCCAGCCGCCCTGTCTGCGCGTGGGTTTGACTGGAGGACCCTGAAAGAACCACACAAAATGCAATAAACATAATGAATGGAAAATATTTGCCACAAATGTAACTTTCTGACAAGACGTGTGTGCCATATATAGACTAAACCACTGCTCTCGTCCTTAGATTTAAAGCGGGGGGTATTTATTTTATTTTTATTTTATTTTTTGGGCCACACCTATAAGATAATGCAGCTCCATAGGTGTTCCCTTTTACAAAGCGCTTACAAACTGCCCTGAGAGTCACTATTTGATGCTTTGGGCTGAGCAAGAGTGGTCCTCCCTTTTTTTATTTATTCTCTGTCTAAAAAAGTTGAACCAAGATGAAAAATACATTCAAGTGGGAACTAGTGATAGAGCCACACTGTTTTAAAGCCAGGACTAGTAATATGGATTTATTACATACAGTAGGTTCTATTTTCAGTGGTTTGAAAGTTAGGTGGCCCACTTTTAAGATTTCATTTGTTTTTTATTTATGAATGTAATGATTGAGTGATCTGAAAATTATCGCTTAGTGTAGCCTTGATCTGTAAAATCCGCTACATAAAGAAACATTACTTACATTCAACCTTGAATTGCAGAAAATAGGGGGTCACTATTTTATCACGAAACAAATGGCTTGGCGCTGTGCATCAACTTGACGCAAAAATCAACACAGTCCATCAAAGAGGACCACGAAAAGCTGTCAACGCAATTATTTTTATGTGGCGCCAGAAGGGGGCCCTCTTGTCTCGGATAACAGAAATTATGAGTCCATCTGACATGAGGACGCTTCAAAGTAAAGTTAAAAAAGCTTATTGGGAGATTTGTATGAAGAGATATGAAGGAAGGCGACTCGAGGTCATATTTGTCCAAGTTTTCGCTTTTCCCATTTCTAGGAACAGAACCTATGTAGTGTGGGAACGGCTCAAACGCATACGTCTTTACCCAAAATAGATCCACAAAGAGGAGGGGGAAGAAAACGCTCCATTCCTAAGTACTGAAAATAGTAAACTCCAAATTCTGACGCTGTGACCACTATTTGAATGAATGAATTCCTCGGAGCAAGCGGGCACCAGACGACTTGATTTAGAAAAAAGGAGCGACCATTTTTCATTACTAAATAGTGTCTGTAGAAGGACAAAGCGCTCGTGAAAAATTTCGACCGTTTATGGCGAAATAATTGCTCTCGGCTCACTCCTTCACCAAAGCCATTTATAAATTTGAATGTCACCAGTTAAGGGGCACATGGGGGTGGGGGGAGTGGGGGCTCGCCTCTGCTTTATTTTCCCATTAATCCTGACAGGCTGAGGCTGACAAAGCTCCTTCAACTTTTGGGCAATTAGTGATTAGTCTCATTATCAATTTTTTCTACACACATCTCCCACTTTTCTTATTTGACCTATGCTATAACGTAAGTAGGCTATTGCCCCTGTTTTGTTACCATATGTGATAGTATGTTGTTGTAAAACTGTTATGACTTGGTTTGACTTTTCTTTACGGCCCCTGGACCCTTCCCAGCGGTCAACCTCAAACCAGTCTGTTGATTATTTAAATGAATTAGGCCACAATACTCAATAAATATATAGTCAAGGTCCGGGGTGTCTAGCTCAAACTTTATAGTAAGAGGGCTACTTTTGTAAACCAGCCCTGTCCGGGGGCCGACAACCAGATTATACAGTTGTTTGTGACTGGATTCAAAGTTCAGGCGATGTCGAAGCTGAAGTTAGCTAAATGAGCTGAAATTCGCTGATTATCAAATGACAAATGTCAGTGACTCTTTGGGTTGGTAGGAGAGGATACATAAAATAACAAAGAGGGCCGCAGTTGGCTCGTGGGCCTTAGTTTGGACATGCCTGGTTTCGGCCGTTATAGGAGCGATACAAACAATTTTAAATTCATATGCCATTGCCCGGGAATATCAAGTTGGGATTTGTTGAGAAAAAGCATGAGACTTTTATGTAACGTTTTGTAACAGTAGTAACGTACACAGACATTCCCTACAGACTGCTCAGAACACGACAGCTGTGCTTGAAAGGAAGACATTTTTATTCAATCACAGAAATAATTAATGATATATTTCCTTTCCTTCATTGTTAGGTATTGTTTTCCATTTTCAAAAGATCATGAGGTTAGAAACTCCTCTTCTGGCCCTTGATCAGAAGTCTCCATCGCCCAGTTCTCATCAGTATATTTCCCCTTTCACATCTCCTGTTACAGCTGTTGCACTTTATTTGTTAGACTGTTACACTTTTAGAATTATGTATTTATTTGCTCGTGTCGATGGTGGTGTTTCTGCTGCTGAACACCTGAATTTTTCCTACAGGGGATCAATAAAATATCTATCTATCCATCTTTCAGCTTGAAATCAAGTTGTGGATGAGAATCTTTATCCTCTCTGTTGGTAACCTGCACATTCTTCTCAAAAATTAAAGGTCGACCGATTATTGCCACGATATCAACCAACAATTATATATTTTTTTCTACTGGTCGAAACAACAATGATCCACCTCCACTAAACACAAACACGCATATTTTTACAGTAAATTAATGTTGGGTCTACATATCAATTATTATATTATATTAGTATTAGCCCAAAAAACCCATACAGGTCGACTGCTAGCAAAAAGTCTCAATTTAGAGTAAATTCCTGGGCTGCCTTGCATAAAATGCATATTTCAGATCTCTCCAGAGCCACTCAATGATGTTATATTTTTAAAAAAGAATTGTTTTTCTTCTGTTTTGTTTGCACTTTGAGTAGTCTTGTGTATCTTCTGCCTTTGTCTTATAATTGTATTGTCTTAAATAATTTCAAAAATATGGGCCAAACAATGACATCTCTGTAAACTTCAATACAACTATACTAATACTAACAATAAATGCTGGTAAAATGCAGTGAAAATTTGGAGCAGGCCCCAAGTGTGGAGTGGAACAATAGGTCTGTCCTAGCAGTCCTCGTGATCAAGTATGAACTTCACAGTTGTAGTAAAAAGCTAACGGCTTTTAAAGCAATTAGCCCGGCGATCGCAGTTTTCTAATTTGGGATTTTGTGACGTCTCTGGGGCAAGGAACTTTGGGTGGACAAACCGTAGCGGCCCATAAAAGCAACGGAGTCTTTGTTTAAAAGGATGCCAGGAATGCGACAAATCAGTTGGGTATTTTTAGGAAGACGAGGCCAGGCTCGATAAACGAACACTGTAAATAAACTTAAGTCACAGGACACGATGGAAAAATGCATGTGCACAGCAGGTCACAGAGGGCGCGAGAATAATGCTTCATACATTAGGAACGTTGGCCTAATTTGGAAAGATTGGACAAAAGTAAAAGCATTGCAAGCATTTTTACTTTAGCCAATTTAGTCGGAATGGTTGATGTCATTAATACAAACATAGCTGCGGAAGTTATTTAGAGTCTGTTTTTTTCCAACCCAGAAGCAGGTCGCAGAAAAAGATTCAAAATCAAAAATAATAATCGTTTTGACTCATTCTGACAATAAAACTGTTCATTGGTAGAATGTCCAGAAATCTAAGGTGCAGCAAAATGACTGTTGTTTAATACAGTTAAAAAAAAAAAAACAAATGTTGTCCCAAACTTTTGTTCAGATGATTGACAAGGCAAGAAAAGGCAAGTGTACTCAGCACAGTTTATATACATGATTTTCTCAAAGTGCTTAAAACAGGAAAAGAAACCTCCAAATCATGCAAGGCAATAAAACGATAAATAATTACAGTACACTTTTTCAGTTGTATGCACAGGGAAACAAAACAGTTTTAACCTGGATTTGGACATTGTCAGAGTAGAAGCCTTTTTTCACATTTTCAGGAAGACTGCTCCAGGTTTTAGCTGCAGAGTTTTGAATATACTGCAGCCATTTTAAAGCTTGTTTGGGAAGACAAGTGAACAGGCCGTTACAGTAGTCTAACCTACTGGAGACAAAGGCAGGATAAGAATCTCCAAGTCTTCTCGAGATGCTATAGTTTTGATTCTGGCAATGTTTTTGACATGGTAAAAACCTGGAGATGTTTCTGATTTGATGAAATGATTGAAGTGAAGAGTGAGAACACTGGACACAAGAGAGTTCTGATTTTGATATCTTTGATTGTTTAATAATGGGGTGACAATACTATTTCTGAATCGGCGGCATGGTGGCCGATTGGATAGCACTCTCGCCTTGAGCAAGAATGTCCTGGGTTAGGATCCTGGTCGGAACAGGGTCTTTCTGAGTGGAGTTTGCATGTTCTCCCCGTGTCTGCATAGGTTTCCTCCGGGTACCCCAGTTTCCCCCTACCACTAAAAACATGTACAATAGGTCTGGCATGCGCCTCCTGTTTGGTGACCCTGCTCCCATCTCTGTGTGGAGTGAGAGACAAATGCCCACAATCCTAAACCGCTTTGTGACTCTGGTCTGTGAAAGGCAGTATATAAATAAAGATTACTTACTTTTTTGTTAATATATAAGGCCAAAATATTGTTTTGCAATAGACTAGGTTTGAACAATCCAAGAAGAGAAAAATAGTGTGAGATTTAGCGGTTAAAGAAAGGGTGCAGTCAAAGTCCACTCTCACATCACCTACCTCATCTTCATCCTTGAGTTTAGATCATGGGGATAAATAACAGACAAGTGAAAGGTCTGGTTGTTGTTTAAAGAAAACCATGGGTCTCTGTGTGAATCATACCTCTCCACCGGAGCTTGAAAACTTTCTTCCGTGTCGACTCTCCTCAAATGAAGACTGATCGGCACCAAGGCGCGCCCTTCGCCCTGACTTTGGAACCTTGAAAACATATCAAAAAGATGGTCATGATTATAGAAAAAAATAAATGGCAAACATTTGACATTTGTCCTCCTGATTCTTACCCTCTGAGGTTGGACTCATGAACACATAACTCATCACTTGTCACTTTATATGTCTGCAACAAAATAATCTCACACCTCTGGTCACTTATTGATTACCTGTACTGTTATATATATATTGTGTGTAAAATATATGATAACGTTAGTATTATTTTTATACCAAAGCTTCCTGTTACTTGTAATGACGATAGAAAGAATTCTGCTTCTGATTGAGTTCAAAGACATTTTATTCATAATATTAATTGATTATTACCATTTTTATGTTATTGAGGTGGTTCACTGGGCTCCAAATCCAGAGGAACACGAGTTTGAGTCAATCAGAATAGAATAAACACGATATATGTTAACCAAATGACACACAGTGACTTCAGTGTGTGATAAATGTGTGTTGTTTCACGTCAGAATCCACTTTAGTTTTAACATTGAAGCATTGTATTTTACGATAAATACAAATAATAGCTAAGTAAATGCATTGAGCATATAGTTTTACATCTACATCTTACATTTACATCATTGTGTGAAAGATACATTTCACACTGTGTATTTGATTAGCATTGAGAATCTAATGGTTGAATTTATATTCAAGAGTAATGGCTAACACTTGAGCTAGCTTGTTTGTAGCACGTCTAGCAGTATTGTGGGACGTGGTAACTCACTCAAATCAGAAAACAACTCGATAATCAAAACTTACATTCTTCGCAGCGTTGGAGTCTCTCAGTTCATCCATTTCTTTTCAGATATCGTTTTAAACTATGCTTTTGAACCATGCTAGGCTACATTAGCATAGCAGCATCTCGGGGCTCACGCGTCAACATTCTCCATGGCAACGCCAAACGAGAGCGAGACGCGTCAAATGATCAATGCGAAACCTCAGAGAAAATTTTCCTAATTTTGCTTCAGCAAAAGATCAAAAAGTATGTGTGACAGATGTCAAAGATATATATAAAACAACATTTAATGGATTATCCTTTTTGTAGCACTTGTCTTCTGGTCCCTAAACTTGCTATGCCTGTCCACTAGATGTCACTGTAAGCCTGTTTATACATACACTGTGGGTTTGCATCTCACTGTTCCTTCAGCTGTTGTTTTTCTTCTATTGCCCCAGATCTTGTAAATATTTAAGTTGGAAATATTGTGTGAATAGTTATATATGATATTAATATGGAGACACTTGAGCACAATCCTCTCCTGCTTTATCTGTCATCATTATAACTTCAACAGTCGTCTGTTCATTGCTATTCACCCACTGTCACATCCTTGATGTGATGACGGGGCCCCGGACCCGGCCTCTTTCATCTGTGCATTTGGACTGGTCTCCCCAGGCCTTTACTCGTGGGCTGCACCCCTCTTCCCGCCTGCCTCCTCAGTCCTGGATCTACAGCCTCATGTGAGCGGATCCCTCCCCGATGTTTCTCACTTTTTTCCCACTGTCTTTTTTTATTTTTAGTCGTTCCTTGCCGATGCAGGGGGGTCTATGGGCACTGATGATCCGGGACATTTAAGTACATTTAAGGACATTGGTCATCCCGCTCCCTATGGACCAATGGCTCCTATGTGTTTGTTACCATTTCATTTCCTTTGAAAATTCCTCCGAGACCACTGCTGTTGTGATTTAGGGATATACATAAATATAAGGAATTGAAAGTGTTGTAATTGAAATAACCCAGCGTCTCTGTGGCACATGGCCGAGTATAAACCTATAAAACAAACTTTATGTCATACACCAAATAAACCGCATCATGTCAATGGTGTGCGCGCAGCCACTCCCACCAACACGTCACCGCATGTGGATAAAAAGAGTGAAAGCAGAGGTGAGGAGGAGCCGGGCCAGGAGCGCGCAAGTGGATGCGTCTGATGAGAGAAGCGCAGAGTGGTACAGACCCAGCGACCACAGTCCTGCAAGACCGAGGGGAATGAAGAGAAGCACTGCTACTTCTAATGACGAGCTGAGCAGACTCACCGCAATGGCACGGATCCGCACTCACACACATGCACTTTTTGCGAAGATGACATAGCATTGAACAAAAATGGGATTCCTCCGAGATCCGAACTCCCTAACAACTTGAATGAGTAAACAGAGATTGGCTTCAGATTCGGGTTGAAGTCTCTGGCTTGATAATACGCGGTAGTAGTGAGTGATCAGCAGAAGTCTAAATATGAATCTGCGTAAAGCACTTTTCTTGTTCCTCCTCCTGAATAGTGTGACAATGACTCTCACCCTTTCTACCTGCACCACAGTGGACATTGACCACATCAAGAAAAAGCGAGTGGAGGCAGTGCGGGGACAGATCCTCAGTAAACTACGGCTGACCAGTCCGCCTCAGACCACTGGTCCAAGTCAGGTACCATACCAGGTGCTGGCCCTCTACAACAGCACCAAGGAGCTTATTGAGGAGCTGGGACGGGACAAGCAGCAGAGTTGTGGCCAGGATAATACGGAGACCGAGTACTATGCAAAAGAGATTTACAAGTTCAACATGATCAATGGTCCTGAGAATAGTAAGTAACTTCACCTCTTTAATAGTACCACAACTACATTTGGTACAAAATAACTAATAACCATATGTAATACGCTCCTCTTTAGGCAAATTCTCCGTATTTATAGTGTGGCATGCAAAAAAATACACAGCAGTATATACTTCACTGTATTCTGAGGCTTGCTCTGTACAGGGTTCGAATCCCGCTCGGAACAGGGCATTTCTGAATGGAATTTTCACGTTCCCCTCGTGTCCATGTAGGTTTTCTCCTCTGGGTGTTACTGTTTTCCCTACCACTAAAAAACATGTGCAATAGGTATAACCGTCCAGCTCTGGTCCTGACCAAGTGGAGCATCAATATCTGGAGGTGGGAGCAGGACTATGATCACTGAGGGGCTGTTGGCATTGGAAGGATGGGTCAAATGCAGTGGACAAATCTCCACACTGGGACAATAAAGTATAACTTCACTTGTAATAGTAATAATACTTCTAATAATTTGAATGGCAATATACTCCTCAATACTCACACTAAAGCCATGGGAACTCCAGCCTAAAGTCTTGACACATTCCTCTGAAAGGAAAATTCTCAGGCAGTTAAGTCTACAATGTTGCCAACTCCAATACCTCATTTCCATTTTCTGAGTGAGTTTCCCAATATTTTTTCCACTGTTATAAACTTATATCCCTCACAAATACTCTGTAATAGCAAAAGGCTGAGAGACTTATTTTGATCTAATTCGCTCGTCCCGTTTTATTGGTATTTCCTGTGCAAAATATGCTCCATTGATTGTTCCAAAAAGGAGAAACAGTAGCTGACTGACTGAATCTCCAGAGAAAGCGGAGTGGAGGGGTTGGCCTGGCGCCTGCTCACGCTCAGAGGCTGATTAGATCATGGCGTTTTGAAATCAACAGGTGTGTGTATGTTGTGCCCTGACACTAAACAGAGTCTCCAAACCAAAACCCCCGAATCAAATGTGTTTCACAGCTCCCACAAAGTGCTTCTGACATTCAAAATACACAGCTCGGGTTGATCCCCTGGTCAGAGGTAGTCAGAGCTCCCAAAACAAACACCAGCCTAAAGAAGTGGGATCAGAGATGGCCACGTGCCCGGGACATCACTTACAGTAGGCCACACTACAGTAGGCCTTTCATGGGACATCCACTTTACCTCCTGTGGACACTACTTATAATCAACACGTCTATTTCTTCTGCCTCTCTCCTCTCTAGAGCGTGCAGCAACTTAAAATGTCTGTCACCTTGATCATTTTTGCAACTTTACTTAATTTTCATTCCTGCCTGTTATAATGACTTTTACATGCGCTGTTTTTGGACGGTGGGAGTGAGCGGGAATCCAATTTTTTTCTTACTCCCAGTTAAAAACTTAAACAGAAGGTCTTCATCACTGGAATAGTATATTTTCAAATCAAAATGCAAGCCATAGAGCGATGTCTCAAATGACCATGAAGTAGTGAAAAGCAAAAAACTGGGAAAAAAGTTATTTGGATCTGCTCTTTTGGAACAACTATCACACATTTTGAGCACTGGTATAATATATATATTTTTACTAGACACTAGGTTTGATAAATTCAGTCAAACACTGTCTGATCTGAAGCTAAGCAGGGTTGGACCTGGTTAATACTGTGATGGGAGACCTATGGGAACCCTCGGTGCCAAAGTGGGGCGGCTGTAAAGGGCTAAACTGTCATTCTTTGTCAGGCAAGACACTTACATTGCCTGGTATATGAGTCTGGTGTCTGCATCAAGGTTTGGGGGTTGTCAGAGAGGCCAATGGCACAGTTTTGTAGTCTAGTCTCCTTTCATCACTGTGCTCCAGGGAAGCCGTGGCTAGAGTAGTAGTTTACCACCACTGTACTTGGAATGAATGAATAATGCCACGTGAAGTGTCTCTTGAATGGCTGAAAAATACCATTATTATTATTATTGAGTTGAAGTTGAGATCAGTTGTAGCTTGATTAAAGACAATATTTTGTCTGTATAATTGTTTATGTTGTTGTGATATCTCATTTGGGTTCAGTAAAGTAACTAATAGCATTCTGAGGTTTTCAAAGGTTAGAGGGTCATGAAAAGATTATTTGAACACAGAACCAAACTAATCAAAAAGGAAACATTTACAGAGCGACTGATGAGACATGATATGTGAAGGTTAGAGGTTGCACTGAATAATGACGCATTAAAAGCCAATGTTCCTTTGTTTACCTGCACCAACGCTGCTCCAGACTCTAGCCGAGGTGGTTCCTGTGGAGCTCATGGAGGCAGCAGGCCGGGCGCGTGTCAGGGTGGGACTGTGGGCTACAGAAAAACCAAAGTCTGTGTGCCAGACGTATTGCTTAATCCCCTGTTTACAGTCATCTTTCTTTACATTCAAATATTAATTGAGTGATAATAGGAAAATGGAAACAACCAGGCATAATTTTCTTGCTTGGACTTTTATATGAGGCTATAAATACACTTTTGCAAGCGTGTAAAAGTAAACGCCTCACAATAAAACCCTGTAATGGAGCCAAGTCAGTAGTAGAATTCAGATTTTCATTCATCGTCATGTAACTACGTCATATCTTGCAAATATGGCTAATGCATTATTGATATTTATATACATCAAATACATCTTATAAATTTTCTATTGTGGTCCTCTATTGTAGCTGAGGTCAGAAAACCAGTTCAAAAAGGAAGTCATGCAAAGTTTGTATCAAATAATGACTGTAGAAGAAATGAGCAATAATCTCAGAGTTGCAAAAACAAACCATAATGCATAATCCACCTAAAGCCAGTGGGGGAACAAATGAGGTCATCCAACATGAAACCAAAGAGCTGATTAGAATGTCAAATCTCCCCTTGAAGTGGGGGCTTTCCACCTACTGTCCGTGTGGAGAGGGTGGGCCTGAGGACATGCCGAGGGAGGACAAGGCTCTGTATAGATTATGTGGAAATGCTGGACAGATATCAGGCTGTCTGCAAAGGCTCAAGGTCAGCTATAAATAGGGGAACCTGGATACAATCACGGAAATCTCAGATAATGGCTGGGAGAAGTAAAAAAGTTGGAAATATGGGTCAAACAAAGTGCAGAAGTCCTTGCATGACATATCACACCTCAGGCTGCAATGCCCACGACTGCCGCTGGGAACTAGGAGGCCCTGAAACTTGCGGCAATAAATTAGTATATTGGCTGTAAATAACTTTCCACCGTGCTCATGAAAATCTGCTTGTTTTCCACTTCACTGCATGTGTTATGGCGTTAAATAAACACACTATTCAATGCTACTATTAGAGAAAGCCCTCAGGACGTGGTACAGAAAGAGGAACAATGTGGTTATCTGCTAAGTTGATTAGTAAAAAAGGTCAGGGCTCCCACACACTGCATTTAAGATCATGTGTGCTCCCTCATGTTATTGTCCATGAGCTCAGGGAGCGCCTGTCACAATAGTTTGGCGTGCTTGTGCAGATATGGTGCTGGACTGAGTAAGTGATGCCATGTGTTTCCAGCCACAACATGCGCTCCCCGGAAGCACAGTGATTTGCTCTGATTTCTCAGAACACCTGTCGGCTGAGGGGGAGAGGGAGCAGTCGGTGTTCCACTGTCCACCACATGTGACATTTGGTTTTCATTTCATCACTTGTAGCAAACAGACAAGTGGGAACAGCATAAGCCCATACCCGGGGCCGGCATTCATTTGAGTAACTTATCTTCACAGATGACCTTCCCTACTGCCCTAAAGGAATCACCTACAAGGTTTTCCGGTTTAATGTGTCCATAATGGAGGAGAATGCCACCAACCTCTTCCGGGCTGAGTTCCGCGCTCTGAGGGTCCCCAATCCTGCTGCCAGGAGAAACGAGCAGAGGATCGAGCTGTACCAGGTGAGTCTGGGACCTGTGTAACGGGTTTTGGAATTATGACTCTCAATCATAATTCCATGTGTGTTGTCAAATGGATTCTACATTAGGCCGGGTTTAAGAGCTTGAACAAGCGTCTTAAGGAAACTCAAGCTCTTCTCTCTGTCAGTCAGTCTGAAAGCATATCTTTGGAAAGGTCTACACCTGCCCCTCTGGAGTTAGACCTGTTGTTTCACTCTTCAGGATGATTAAAGTATGTTATATGTCATTGATGAACATACTATTTCCATTTTTCACATTTTTTGCATTAATTTCCCACGAGAAGGTAGAGGTACTGATCAGGTTCCAACATTTCCTGTCAGGTGTCTCTGGGTCGCATACCACCTCTGGGGCAATCTGGCATGGTCTGAATTCAGGCTGTCAGAGGATCAGATTGTTTCCAGGGGCCAGCAGGAGATACGACTGGGTCGCCCAGGGGAGGCAGTAAACAGAGCTGCTCTCGCCCCCTCAGTCGGCAGACTGGAGCTGATTGGCAAAGGCCTGACACTGGCAGTAGTCTGGCCCCTCAGTCCCACAGGAAGACAGATTAGATGCTGACATTGTTCAGGATTCTGGTTATTCTAGCAGAGCAGTGGGGCACCTCCAAACACACGCTGCACAAAAGGATAAACAGCTTTATGAAGGGAAATGGTAGTCTAGTCACTGCATTTTGCATTTGTCTATGGTCTCAGCACATTAGCAGCGGAGATATCTGCCGTCTGAACTCTGTGACCCTGCATCTGAAGGCAAAAGCCACTGTTGAGCTGCTGGTGTAAAGAACAATCAGGTTGTCATTGGCACTAGGGTAATATGCAGGCATTAGCTCAGAAAAAAGGGGATATCAACACTGGGAGTCACTTTTTCCGTGATGAGGAGTCGTTTGGCCCAGAGCGTCCTGGAGAGTCTGGCTCTCGACAGACGGCTCTGGTTCTGTGTGGAACACAAAGTTTGTGCAGCTGGCTCACATTTTCGACCATTCTTTCTCACAGATCCTTCAGAAAGACGACCCCAAGGCCAAGCAGCGCTACATTGGGGGCAAAAACGTCTTAACCAAGGGGACGCCTGAGTGGGTCTCCTTCGATGTGACGGACACCGTGAGGGAGTGGCTCATGTACAGACGTGAGTGCACTCACAGCTCTCTACATTTAACACACACTATTCACACTAACAGAGTGACCTTGCCCTTTGCAGAGACCAACCTGGGCCTGGAGATCAGTGTCCACTGTCCCTGTCACACTTTCAGGCCCAACGGGGACATCATTGAGAACGCCAACGAGGTACTGGAGGTCAAGTTCAAAGGTGAGACACTATGAGAGTTCTCAATCACAAAATGACATTTGTGTAAAAACATATAGGGTTTAGTTAAGGTAGTAAGCCTACTTTGCGACAAGTCCCCAATTATCTATGTGACTAATGTTAATATTTCATATGTTTAAGTGAAGCAGATTAGGGATATTATTCCCCTAGAATTACTGCTTATCCGATTACAGTCGTACTTTTTATAAGCAGAGTTGGAAAAGTCCTTAGTCCTGTCATCAGCCTGCGTTTCATGCAGTGATCCACAGGCTTTCTTTACAGAAAGATAATGGATTGCCTTTTTATGAAGAAGAAAAGACACTGAGCATGGGAATACAATTGCTCTGGTATCTCACTTAAAACTAAGGCCCCTGGGCCCCAGTGCCTGGGAACACTGTCCAATAGGCCAGCCACAAGGAATGTGCCGCAACGGCGCTCAGACGCTTGGCCTCGAATTAAAGAGGGCCGGACCAATTCAGCAGCAGCATCTCTCCGGAGATGTAAACTGCTTTAGCTATCAGGGCTAGAGTGCATGAGCAGACTGTGGTCCTGAGGACGGAGTCTACACTGATGATTCTGTACCTGCAGGTATGGAAGAAGATCTGAGCCAACACAAGGAGCAGAAGGAGCAGCTATACCCCCACCTCATCCTCATGATGCTGCCTCCACACCGACTGGACACTCAGTCCTCATCTCGAAGACGCAAGAGGGCACTGGACACCAATTACTGCTTCAAGTAAGAACAGTGGGAGAACGCTTTAATCACTGGAGATATAGCTGCTCTCTTTGCTCTCGGTGTTGCCAAATATTTGTATTGAGATTTAATGCCACATTCCTTTCTGTCATATTTTCCGATATGCTGTATCTTTTCTTGGGACAAGCACATAAACTGGTCTTGCGTGTAGATGTGTAACCACCTTGTGTTCAGTCATGTAATAATTCCTCATTACCCTGTAATTATGTTGTAAGACTGGCTCAAATATCACTCTTGTTTACAGTAGCACAGAATGGAATTGTGTCAATCATGTATATCAATAGCGTAAAAATGTGAGTTATTTGCATGGAAAATTATAGGATCATGTTTCCAGCTGAATTGTAACATGAAACGGAAACTTACTTTCAATGCTGAAAGAGGTACCAGGCCACATAGAACGAGCTTTTTAATCATGGCACAGAACATGACAGAGGTATTAGAGGTACAAGTTGGGATCTGTCCTGGCACTTCCAAGAGTACCTGGTCCTCCACAGTGTCTGCTTGGCGCTGGGGTCCTGTCAGAAACCTGGGTTGGCTCCAGGAGGGAAAATAAGGGCACACCTAAGAGTGGAATTCTCTCTCATCTGTGGATGTGAGGCCATAGGGAGCAAACGCACACAGGGCTCATTTCTGACTGTAATCCGGTCTTCTCTCTTTGCAGTAATTATGAGGAGAACTGCTGTGTGAGACCACTATATATTAATTTCCGTCAGGACTTGGGCTGGAGGTGGATTCATCAGCCTGAAGGATACTACGCTAACTTCTGCTCTGGGCCTTGTCCCTATCTACGCAGCTCTGATACAACTCACAGCACAGTATGTACAAATACAGCTAAATCACAGTTTAGAATATATATACATACTTGTCTTGTGATCTGTGTGTGTTGTTAGGAGCAATGCATGTAGTTTTACCTGGGAGAAAGAAAACAATTATTAGATTTGACTATAAAAAAACAAAACACTTCCTCTATGTAAAGAATGTAAGTCTGAAGAGGCAGAGGCAGTGTGATTGATACCGCATCATGTGTTCCAACATTTGAACTCAACACAAAACTAGATATAGTTAAATAAATAATAAAAAATCATTGGCCTGATTACTGTAATCAGGCCTGTTTCACCTTTGGTCCAGTTTGGTCCTTAGGCAAGACACTTCTCCCACATTGCCCAGAATGAGTCTGGTGTGTGTGTGAATGATTGGGGGCAGCCATGGCGACTGTAGTACTGTAAGAATGATAAAAAGTGAAGCGTCTTTAAGTGTCCAACTCGAACTCATGTTAAATAAAAGAAATCCTAACACCCTCATAGTGTAAAAATATATATTCAAATAATCGAAACCACTTTCATACGTTCCACTACTTCTTTGATAAAAGAGTCTGATGTGGTTCCTCTTTCTCCTGTGTCCACAGCTGCTCAGCCTGTACAACACTCTGAACCCAGAGGCGTCCGCGTCCCCCTGCTGCGTCCCTCAGGACCTGGAGCCCCTCACCATCCTCTACTACGTGGGCCGCTCGCCCAAAGTGGAGCAGCTGTCCAACATGGTGGTCAAGTCCTGCAAATGCAGCTAGAGACAGAGACACAGCCTGGCCCTTCTCAGGACACCCCAGCAGACTCTGCCTCCTCCAGGAGCAGGCTGCACATGTGGCATTCACACCATGGAGACGCTGACCACTTCACTCAAATCAAACGCAGACCTCCCAGAACTCCACTCTTTACTTTGTGTCATTTGTAAAACGGTGCATGAAAGAAGGTACCCTCGGCCACGCGCTGGAGATGAACGCTGTACTCTCACTGTTCATTCAATGCTGTTACATAGAAGTAAGACATGCTGGAAAAACAAGCCTTTATTCAAACTGTTGCCATGGTTTCGTTTACCTCTTGAATAAACAGGACCCAGGGATGTTCTTTCATCAGTGAAGCTTCTGTTTTATCAACTTTTATGTCACTAAGTGAACACAACTAGAACACAAAGTGTAAATGTTTATTATTACCATTGAAAACACTTTTTTAATTAAATCAACTGTTGGATAGTATTATGTTTTATGTTCTTTATTTTCATGTTAAAGTACGAGCTAATATTACTTGATAAACAGTCTGCATGAGCTCGATATTCATTTGTGATGATGGTGCATGCTGCTGAACAGTGGTTAAGCCAGATGCTCAGAACTACTGCATTCAAACAGGAAAGTATCAAACTGAAATATTCACCAGTCGACTTGTCTTCTACACATGTCACAAAACACAAAGACAGAAGGAAAATACTTTGACTGAATATATCCAGAAAGAGTCAAACACAACGTGTTGGCTGCAGTCTCTTTTGCTACTTTCCAAAGAACCATTCAACACTTGTTTACTTTGCTGAATACTATAATGTCTTAATAAATAATAACAATTGAAAACTCATTATCTGGCAACATATTGAGTACAACAGATATGTCATAAATAGAATTCATGCTTCAAGTTCAAGTAATATTCATAAACATATGCCACCACCAATGAGTAACATTTTCCCCACTAAAAGGCCCTGAGTCGACTGTTTTTACAGTGCCAAGCAGTAGTTTCACGGCTGTGTAAAACCCGTGCACATGGGTTAGCTTGAAATCAATCATGACATAGAAAATACACTTGCAAAAGCACAAAAAGCAAAAAGAAATTTACAACAATTTGGTCCAAAATATAGAAATATTCCACACACAAAAATGCACAATAACATTATTATTTTAAAGTATATTTCTTCATACAAAATTCTGTAAACAATTATTCAAAACAATGACATCACCTCAGAAACCTCAGAGTCTTCCTCTTTGCATGGTTCAAAGTCGACAGGTGAAACTCGGGAAATTAAGATAAGTAAAGATAAACGTTATTGTCCCAAGGGAAATACAGTGCTGCACATATTTTGCATGAATGAATAAAAATAAAATCGAAAGGACTTTTAGCACTGGACAGAAGTGCAGTAGTTCTTTGACTTCTCTGTTTGGTCCAATTCCGCATCAAAATAAATAATTGGTCCTGGGTTAAAAAAAAGATTTGCAACTTATTTGTTATAATGTTCAATAATGTCTCAAAGCTGCAAAATCCACAAATAAAAAAAAAATCTGAAAAAAGGAACATTTTGAAAATGGACTGTAAGCCCCAATCATCAACATTTTGACTCTGCATGGAATGACTTTACATCAGTTAGATTTGTTAAGTTATATCCTCTGTAATTAATCATATAGAGCATTTCAGCATTGACTGGAAGCAAGTAGTAGAGGAAACCAGAGCACCTGGACAGATTATGGACAGAAGAAAAATCCGCCCAAAATGCCTGGAGTTGAACCCAGGACCTTCTGGCTGTGGGCTGACCATCACACCACATGGAATGCCAGTGCTTTGAACACAGCACAGACGTCTGCTGTTATGATGCCGGTAGAGACACGAAGAAACAACTGCTAAAGGCGATCTATCAGTGCAATCTCTCAATGCAGGGTTAGTATGGAGAGAATGAGAACAGGCAGCCACTGAGATTTTAAATGTAGCTGGGGAGAGGAGAGAGAGAACAAGAGAGGGAGAGAGAGAGAGAGAGAGAGAGAGAGAGGCTACACATAACATAACACAGGCAACAAACCCCCAGCCTGCGTCAAAGCTGCCCTCTCACATGTCTGGTGCCCTATCATAAAACCAATAAATGGAGTATTGTTGGCGGATACTGCTGGCTGTCATGTGTCCTGTGGTTACATACACAAACACCTGTTATTGCGACACAAAGCTGGTGCAGGTTTGGGGTCTTGTTCGTCGTTGTGTCATCTCTGGTTCGGGCCCTGGCCTGGGAACACCTTCCGGTACATGGAGAAACCTGGAGAAAGAAACAACGTAAAAAAGGCAGATGTTATAAATAGCGTTCCCTGTTCTACCTTTTGATCCTGGCGTTAATAATAGACAAAGCTGTTGGGTGTTGAGCCTCAGCATGGAGTGACTCAGGCTGCTGTCCTATCTCTTGGCTCGGGGCCAGCAGAAAAAGGCATTCCCCCGCGCCGGTCAGTGCTAGCCAGGGAGTTAGTGCTTCTCAACAGTATCCCTTTTCATTCCTCTTTTGCACACTGTTTATTTTGAGGGCTGACTGAGCAGAAAGAAATGAAAGAAAGACAAGAAAAACATCACCTCTAATGATATGAGGAAGCAGGAGATAAGACTCTTTGATCACATTGGAAAACTCAACTATGACAGTAACCAATTAATAGAGGGGGAATTCTTGCATTAGCAATAAAAGAAAATCTGGACGGACAGATGGAAAACAGATCACAGGGATTTCAAGGCACTCTGATGGTTTGAAAATCAAATAACCTTTATTTACAATGTTTTTTTGTCTAAATCTACATACACAACTTTCACAAAGGTTCAAAGGTTCAAGGTGACTTTGTTTCTACCCATGGGTAGATAATTTTTGTAGTTAAAAAGAGAGAGACTTTGCATCTACACAAAAAAATAATAACATAACATTTACACAAATATGGCATGTACATTTCTCCAATGTGAGATCAACAAAGTCTATCTTATGTTATCTTATCTAATAACAATAAGACACAACAGTAAGAAAAGAAGGTATAGAAAAGAAGGTAAAAGTGTTTAAATTGGTAGTCAGGACTCCAGAACTCTTTTCTGCGTAAAAACTGAGTGAAAATGAGGCGGAGCAATGGAGGGGACCGAAAACCTTCATTTTTTACTGAACCGTATCATATTGTGTTTAGAAATATAGGGAAATGAATTTTGTCACGTGTGCCACTGTATACAGTGGTCCCTCGCTGCATTCACTTTTTGTGGCCTTGCTGTTTCTCAGATTTGCCTTCTTTAGAGTGTGCTTCTAGTGCGCCACATGAATACTCCAACTTCAACATATACGTCATAAAACCACAAGTATGCCAGGACAGTTACATTTATTTAAAGTGAGGGGAAAATGTTGTGATTAGTTCAGTCCTGCTCCTGCCCCTGAGTGTCCTCTGCAGCTCTACTTCCGTATATGCACGGCTTTTGACAGCTGCAGCAGCCCTCAGACCAACAACAAACAGGTATGATATCTCTGCGATCACACTTTGTGGGTTGTGAGTTGTGAGTTCAGGTGGTTAGAAAAGTGTATAACGTGTGTGAGGGATTTCGCTTATTACTGGTTATTTTTTTTAAATTAACCTCATTATAAACGAGAGACCACGGTATCTTGATACTTGAAACTGTATCGGCAGAAAGATACCCAGCCTCAGACTAGACTGGCTACCTTCCCATTCGCGACAAAAAACACAAGTTGCTTTTCAACATTGTCACTGCAAGTAGGCAACAACGAAAACATTACAGACTGTCCAAAAGCCCCTCTCACGTAATCTAAGCAAGACCAGCATCGAACCTCCAGGCCCAGTTCGATAATGGAGCCTAACAAAAATCCCATTAAAATAGGCACAAGTGCTGAATTCATTTCCTTTCTCAAACTCCAAGTAATAAATCTCTCATCAGTGGATGTCTATGGAGTCCTGAGAACTTGAAGAAAACTTCAAGAGGAAAGCTTGTAAAACACATGTGGCTGACATAATGTGGATCTGTGCGCTGGCTTTGATAGCTCCTCGTCACCATCTTCCCCTGATCGCATGTCCGCACTGGAGCAGGGTGACGCACGCATGTCGAAGCAGTGAAAAGCTAGGCGGACGGGGCGCGGGGGCAGGACGGGTTTAGAAGTTATACGAGCAGAAAGACATGAGTGCACAAGAGAGAGATAAAGGACAGCGCTGATTAATGCCGGTTGACAGCTGATCATAGAGAATGCTCCCCCTGTCACAAGTGATCAGCCAGTCCAGTCATCTCGCCACAAAGGTAAACTGGACAGGCACAAAAAGGCCCTGACTCACTCCAAAGCCCACAAAGACTCCCAGAGAACCGACGGCGCTTGTTGGTCTGTATAAGATCACAATTTCTGGGCTGGGCTCTAGGGGGTGGGTTGTGTGGGGGCTGGGTGGTTTGGGTTATTTTTCGCTGATTGTGTGGTTAGGTGGGTACCACTGGGGACGCTGGATGTAGCGACTCGTCCTGTGTCCGGATTACCTGCCCCGCACGGTGTTGCCCCTGGTGTGCCGTTAGGTCATGGTTGAAACCCTGTGGGTATGTCCTTCACAGTCCGTCGCCTTTAAGTTCGTTCACCTGACCCGGGGGGGCTCGTGTTGGGGGTGGCATGCGCTAAAGGGGTGTTTGTGACATTTGACTAATATGAAAGGGTGGTGGGGGTTTTTTTGGTTTTTTTGATCTATGCCCTGTTGCCCGACCCAGACACGCTGATTGATACTAAATAGGCAGAGCCTATGGTGCAGGAGAAACAGTATTTTCTTGGCTTGTGTTCAAAGATTACAGCAAGGGTGCTCGCTGCTACACTGCGTTTTGGGTGCCTAATAGCCACATGCCTTAGGGCGCTGAGGTGAGTGGGATGTCTAGGTTACGGGTGCATATTGACTTTTTTTTAATAACTACGTATGGGATTAGGATTGGTGATATGTGCATTGGTGGGGGATTAGGGTGGGGGGAGATAAGTTTGTACTTCGCAATCGCTGGAGCGTTTACTGTGTTGTAGGTATTATTCCTGTGTGCTTTTCCCGTGTGTGTTCAACCGGGTCCAGGATGTCTTCGGTGCTTGGGGTGTCTGGTTTCCGAGTTCCTTCGTGTGTCTTGTGGAATTCGAAAGTTTATGTTTGCTTTGGAATTTTTAATTTATTTCGTCATTGAATCATTATTGTTAGCTAGTCCTAGTAGGGTGTGTGGGACCGGCCGGTGTTTCTCCACAGGATAATAAGGTACGGCTCGAAGACAAAGAAAAAGCGCTTCACCTGGCGTTAAATTTCACTGGCGACGCCCTACAGCTCATCACGTTAATTTAGCACTGGCTCTGGCTTGTAAGAGTGGTGTACAGTCTGCGTATGGAAGACATACTGTGAGTGCCCCAGCCCCATACTGGAATAGGGCGCAAGTGTTCTGTCTGGTGGGCACTCCCACGAGTGTCTGGACATGGCCCGGGGCTGTTGGGGATAACACTATGCTTATGAAATATGGCCAACTGAGGATCCTGATAGGGGTCACATCACGTGGATCGCATTGATACGAACCAGTCAGTGCTCAGTTATGCCCCTGTTCTACGTCTTCGGTGGGTAAGGTGCAGAGCATAAGTCACTCTCTCACTCCACGCCATCCAACAATGGTCAAAGCAAAACAGCATAACATCACAGCTTACAGCTGCATCTGCTGGTAGGCCTCAGTTGCACGGGACTTTGAGTGAGCTCTGAGTGCTTTAGTCTTATTATATGTGACATGTGTTCAATTCAAAGGTGCCTAAACTGTGGTCCCGTAGAATGGGAAGCCACGAAGGTGATTTAGACTGGACTAAATGGCCTGGAAAATGGAACAGAAAACTTATACATTTGTTGTTCATGCCATGACTTGTGTCTGATCTCAGACTTAGACAATAGAAGGAGCGAAAACGAGAGCTCACGCGACTACGCGCGAATCCGGGTAGCTGGAGCTGTATAACTTAAGGTATTTACTGAAATCTTGACCAGCATCGCTTTTTACTGCCTGGCATGATGCAAAGAAATATGAAAAAGTAAGGACTTATAGTCCACGCAAGTACTGTTTAATGAGGATCACTGGAATGTGATAACTTGGGGTTGTAGGTGTAGTGGGTAGTAGTTTCTGCGGTACGATCCGTGTGTTAAAGTCAAAGATCAAAAAATATCTAGATTTAATTGTAAGAACCTTGTATTTTGCATAAAGCCTTTCAAAAGTTATATAGTCTTACGTCTAGGGCGCCCATAGGGTCGCATCCTTAAAGCAGTATACAAACGGTTCTCAGGGAGAACGGGGGGTGACTCAAGGGTACCACGTGTGTCTTGCTCCACTGTATGAGCATATGATGTATGTATGTACGATGTGTTTGAGTATAGGAGTAGGTAGTTGTAAGTAAGTGTTGAGGGATTACCCAGCCTTTTCACTGCCCAGATTCTGATGGCGCCTTAAGCGGTGGGTACAATGGTCGTATCATGGAGGGGCTGGCATTGTCTCTCACTCCACACAGAGATGGGAGCGAGGGCCGCCAGGACAGGGCCTGCCTATTCTGGAGAACTGTTGGACATATTGTTAGTGGTGGAGGGGAACTATCGGAGTACCACGGAGGAAACCTACGCAGGACACGGGAGAATCATGCAAAACTGCCTACGCAGAAAGGCCCTGGTCCGACCGGGGGATTCGGTACCCAGGACCTTCTTTTGCTGAGAGGCGAGAGTGTGCGTATCCACGCACCTCCGGGCCGCCCAAGATGTTAAGGGCTCTAATTCCTGGGGATCCTCACACCGGGGTCGGGTCTGATATGTCGCTTGGATCTTTGCCACTTACTGGTTTCACCAAATAAACATGT